AAAAATGTCCATAAACAATTGGTAAGTTTATATACTTTGGTTTGAAAATGTTTGGTTAAGTACCTAGAATTCAATAATTTGCTGTTTGTAGGTTTTAGATGTGTAGAAAGTGTTGTTTGAGCAAATGTTTGGTTTCTGCAGGTTAATCTCAGAAGTGAACTGCGTGAAAATGATGTATGGCTGCAAAAGTTGATTCAATAGTTTAATTGATTATTTTTTGATTGTTTAATTGATTTGTAAAAGTTGATTCAATAGTAGATGATCGGAAATAAGAATTATTGCTTATTTTTGATTGTTTAATTGATTTGTAAAAGATGATTTGTAAAAGTTGATTTGTGTAATTGATGCGAACATAATTCTTATTTGTGCTTGTTTAATTGATTGAAATGTAATGGTTGATTTTGTTGATTTCAATCTGCATTATGTGAAGGCAAAAATGACTATCGCAATGCGAAATGAAAATCGCAATGCGAAATGAAAATCGCAACGAGAGAATCGTAATGCGAAATGAAATCGCAATGCGGAAATGAAAATCGCAACGAGAGAATCGCAATGCGTTTATAATTTCGCATTGCGATTCTCTCGTTGCGATTTTCATTTCGCATTGCGATTTTCATTCGCATTGCGATTCTCTCGTTGCGATTTTCATTTCGCATTGCGATTTTCATTTCGCATTGCGATTCTCTCGTTGCGATTTTCATTTCGCATTGCGATTCTCTCGTTGCGATTTTCATTTCCGCATTGCGATTTTCATGTTGGGATTTTCATTTCGCATTGCGATTCTCTCGTTGCGATTGTAATTTCCGTGTTGAGATAGTCAAATGCATGCCTAATAGTGATAACAACTGAATAACAAGAGTTGGTTAAGTCAAAATGGTGGCCTGAGTCATTAATTCAACTGAAAATGTTAAAAGTTCACATAAAATCCACATAATACAACGTTTGCATTTAAAAATCACCTAAGTTAACAGTCCCAAAAGGTGAAGCCAATTGTGATTGGGATTTTAAAGATGATTACCTTTTGCTTGACACCATATGAGCTTTGGATTTTGATGAGGATCCATATTTTGGTAGAGGAAAAGATGATTTTGATGGCACTGGTGATCCACATGTCAACCTTGTATGACCACTTTCCTTGCACCGACTACATGTCGATCTCTTCTTCTCTTCACCCTTAGACGGTATACGATCGTGACTTTTTGGTCGGCCAGGTAGCCTTCTGTCCATGGCTGGTGGCAAAACTGTTTGTAAGTCATCTGGTATGTCCCACTCAGAAGGATGTGGAATAGGGTAGACAATCTCGGCATAAGTCTGTCGATAAACTTCTGTAGTGTAGCAATCCATAGCGTATGCGCTTGAATCATCTTGGTTTAAATGAAGAGCAACTTTTATAACATGGCCACACGGATAACCAGATGTTTGCCATTTCATACAACTACACGTCTTTGCATTTAGATCGACTAGCCCATTTAAGTTATTATCCAGTACTTGAAACAAAGTGTTTGAACATGGTTCAACTCTCCATGACGTTGACTTCACAACACGTTTCGTTATCTTTTTTTCAGTCCATGGTGTAACACGATGTTCCAATGTTCCTGTAAATTTAAATAAACAATACTTAGTAAATATATAAATATGATAAGTTACGAATTCAAAGAAATAATACCTGCATGGTTTCTTTTCTTGTAGTACCACTGTTGAATAGAGGCTCGAAAAACTCCATTAACATAGTAATGGGTAATTTCCGGGAATGACGACTTAGAGCGTTGATTGATTCTGCACTATTAGACGTCATGAAACCATATCTTGCTCCAAGTTGATGTACTCTTGACCATCTTTCAAACCCGACATCTTCTAGTGTTTGAGCACACTGAGGCAAAACACGTCTTAAACAATTTATATGCTTATTGAAATCCACTTCCCGATAAGCTTTTACAGCCTTCCAGTATGTCCATTTGTGCTTTTTATACCAGCAGACCTTGATTTTAGATTTCTATACAAATGAACACCACAAAGTCCATGAAAAGCATCTGGGAAACACCTTCTAACAGCGTTGTCAATTGAGTTTGCCCTATCGGATATGATTGTCAGATTGCTAATAGGACCTATGCAATCCCTAAGATGCCCCATAAACCATGTCCATGAATCAGAGGTTTCAGATTTGCCAACCCCGTAAGCTATTGGCAATATCCCATTGTTAGCATCCATGGCTACTGCTAATAAGTTTACTCCAAGGTATCGACCTTTCAAATGTGCTCCGTCAACTATAATAACTGGGCGCATGCAAGTAATAAACGAACGAATCTACAAAATAATATACACAAGAAATATAATCATTTAAATGTGAAATGCATGTAACTAACAAAAATGAGTCAACAAAATTATATTGATTTACTAACCGTAGCACCAATGGCGATAAACAGCAACTCAAAGCGTCCATCTCTATCTGTTTTGATATGAGTTACCGACTCAGGATTTTTCAGCTTTAAATTGTGACAATAAGCCGGCAGTTGGGCAAACGATGCTTCTGGCGACCCCCTCAACAATTCCAAGGCATAACATTTGGCTCTCCAAGCTTGAGAATATGATATACTAATCTTGAACCGAGCATTCATGTCAGTCATAATTTCATGTCCCTGATATACCCTGCCATTCAAAAACATTAACTCAGCCAGAAAACCACCCAACACCTTTTTGTTTGCCTGTCTATGGTGAGGAAAAACTTGGGTTCTTGAACATGTATGTTTATCAATAAAAGTCCTAACTTGAAACATTTCGCAATCTTTTATTCTCTTTGCAATCATTCGCCACATACAGTTTTTGTCAATCATACACCTTGTTTCGAAACGATCTTTGCTTGATTTGTTAACTTTTAGTTGATAGCCATCTTCCACACATTTCGTATACAAAGCTATCTTCAAGTCTTCCTTTGTATCAAAACAATCATCTTTCTTGATACGAATAACTTTTGTGTAACAATCAACTGCTTTCTTTACCAACTCTTCTTCCGGTATCTGAAGTAATTCTGGCATATTCCAGTTATACGCCCGTGGCATTTTCTTTTCTTCGGGGATTTTTTCTTCTTCAGGATTATATGAATTACAGAATGGATGTTCAACATGTTCATTCACAGTCGTAACTTCCTCCTCATTATCATCAACAATACATTCTTCGGCAACGGCTGTTTCATCATCAAAATTCGGGTATTGACCAATATCAAAATCATTACACGCAGGGTCTGTTTCTTCTTCTGAAACATCATCAAAATCCGTGTATTGACCAATATCAAAGTCCGGATATTGACCAAGACCAAATTTCGAATACTGACTAGTACTCACAATTTTTTCTGTTGGCTCATCATCGTCTAACTGGTCAATACGAAAACCGGAATTTGGTGCTGAAAGTTGATTGGGATTTGGATTAGAGAAAGGTTGTGGGTTTTGAGAAAAACTTAGTTGATTACTACCCGCTACTGACCCAACAATACTACTTCTAGGTTCAAACATACAATGTAACATCATCTTGTGAAACACTAATGTAAGCAATGAATCGTTCAACATCTCATTGTCGGTTAACAAATAAACTTTACCATTTCTCTGATAAGATAGCCTAAATCCACTTAGGGGCTCTAAATTCAATTTATTTGAAACACGTAGCATTAGAGTTTCATAAGTTAACTTTTGTAAAGACAATTTTAGTTGAAGATTCATGGGTAAAGGCATATATTGTAAAACACCATGAACATTATCCCATGACCCTCCAAAACACAAATCTATCCAAACATGATCAACATTAGATGATTTCATGGTTGTAAATTAATTTACTAAACAGACGAGCTGCGAAACTAAAACCTGTTGCCGGATTGGGAAGGATGTCGTTGGATATAGGAACGGATGTCGCCGAGAGAGTGATAGATGGAGATGGAATGAGTTGCGATTTAGGGATTTAGTTTTGATTTCAGTGTTATATACCCAAAATTTCAGTGTTGTGATTTACAGATTCTCGTTGCGATTTACGGATTATCGTTGCGATTTACAGATTCTCGTTGCGATTTACGGATTATCGTTGCGATTTACAGATTCTCGTTGCGATTTACGGATTATCGTTGCGATTTACGGATACGCGTTGCGATATACGGATACGCATTGCGATTTACGGATACGCGTTGCGATATACGGATACACGTTGCGATTTACGGATACGCGTTGCGATTTATGTGTTCGCGTTGCGATTTTCATATTCGCGTTGCGATTTTGGAAAATCGCAATGCGAATTTGTACTATCGCATTGCGATTTTCAAGAATCGCGTTGCGATTTTGGAAACTGATTTGCGATTCTGGGGATCGCGTTGCGATTTTTATTTCGCGTTGCGATTTTGTTGGTCATTTTGGCAAATCCAAAAAAAGTTGGTTAAAATCGTATATTATAACGTTTTTTTGGTCACTGAGGCGATTTTCTCTATTAAAAATCCTTCAATAATTAATAAAATAATATATTTAAAAGTTTAGAAACATTGAAAAGGCAAACACGCGTCTTCCATATGAACTGATGTGTTAAGGCAGTATTTTATGTTAATCATCCAGACGACAAAGAATTCAGACAATTAATAATATTTTTGATCATGGCGTGTTTTAAGCATTTGCTTTTTCCGCCTTCGCAGCTGGTGCACATGGTTTCACGTGTCAATCAAAAGCCCTTTTGCAGCTGAAGCATTTCAGTGACCAAGTCTCTTCAATTTTCCATGTGCTTTGGAATCCCAACTATTTGCTTAGAATGTCTATCTTCTATGACATTCATTTGCATGATGATGACAGACGTTGTCTGAACTGAATCATTAGCTTACAATGATTAGAATTTAGAAGCCGGTATGTTAGTTAAAAGTCAAACTGATTTTCTTTTTCCACTTCCCACAGCGTTTAATACACCTCAAATCTATTGCTTTTCCTACCATGTGAAATGATTCTTTATATATATAAAAAATTCGTTCATATTAACTATCATGCAACTATATATAACTCTTCATTACCAATCAACTCACTCATCAAATCAAAATCGTTTCTTTAACTCAAATCCATGGAGATGGCAGCCAAGTTTTCATATTATCTACTAGGAGGCTTCATTCTCCTTTCTTCATTTGTTTCGTTATCTTCATCATACTTCGACAACAACGAAATTTCTTCCGACATTGTGTCCAGGCGTCTACTTAAAATAGCCTCTAATAGGGCAATCAACAGTATCTGATCCCTCACAACACAGATTAAGAGCAGAGCTCCGGCTCCCTCCTCTCAGATGGAGCAAAAAGCTGGCAAAATTTGCTTCCTGGTGGGCACATAAGAGGCAAGGAGATCGTGGTTTGATTCATTCGAAGAGCGATTACGGGGAGAATCTCTTCTGGGGAAGCGGCAAGGATTGGAAGCCGAGAGATGCAGTAGCGGCATGGGCAGCGGAGAAGAGGAACTACAACTATAAAACTAATAGCTGCAGAAATAATAATCAGTGCCTGCATTATACTCAAATGATTTGGAGAAATAACTTAAAGGTCGGATGCGCCAAAGTCGTGTGCCGAAGCGGCGATACATTGATCTCGTGTAACTATGATCCCCATGGTAATGTGGTAGGCCAGAAGCCTTTCTAAGTTTAAATGGCTTTGGCTGCAACTCACGCAGGCAAGCGTGATGGAACCATAGATATATGATCTTGCATGAATGACTGTCACTGTGACTGTGACTTGGTCATTCTTGTCTATCGTTGTTCATAATATTCATATGTTGTAAGTAACTCCTTCAAGTTGCTAAGTTCATTATTAAGATATCAAAAATTGAAAGAAACTAAGTAGTGTATTATTCGCATTTTTCAGATACATCAACAAGGATTATATACACACACTCTTAACAATCTCCTAACTGCACAACTAGTTGTAACTGCAACAGCAGCTCTAATAGCCTTAACAGTACGCCTAACTAACACTCTAACAACTTGCAACCAAAGTAAACAGCCTCATTCATATACTGATCAAGCTAAACAACCTCCATTATTCTCCCTACTTCTTTAACTTATTCCTTCTGCATCAACAAGACAAAACACACAGCTGACCCCTGAACACCTCAAACGTTCCTTTTGTCAGTGATTTGGTGAGTCCGTCTGCCACTTGATGACTAGCTGGAACATTATTCACCTACAATTGTTTAGCTACTACTTTCTCACAAACAAAATGCACATCCATATCCACATGTTTTGATTGTGCATGATGAACAGGATTTGTGCTTAAAGCAACAACACTTGTATTATCACACCAAATAACATGTGCATTTTGACATTCAACCCCTAGCTCACATAGTAATGAGCTTATCCACGTGACTTCTGCAGCAACATCATCTACACTCCTGTATTCAGCCTCCATTGTAGACGTGGAGACAGTTTTCTGCTTCCTCGAGCACCAAACCACAGGGCATGCACTAAGAAACACTATATACCCAGAAACAGATCGCCTATCATCGATAGGGATGGCAATGGGTCGGGTTGGGTTTTTGGGTCACCTAACCCGACCCGACCCGAATATATGACTTCGAAACCCGACCCCACCCGAAATAATAAAAAAATATTTTTATTCAATAAAAACAGTGACTTAATTGAAAAAAATTATATATAGAGGGGTATTATTGTAATTATCCCTAAATATATAGGGTAAAATTATATATATATTTTCGGGTTGGGTCGGGTTGGATTTTTCTACCCTAAACCCGACCTGACCAGAATAGTGTATAAAAAAAAACCCCAACCCGAACCCGAATTTTTTAAAAAAAAATCCGACCCGATCGGGTCGGAACCCGTCGATTTCGGGTTGAGTTGCCATCCCTAATCATCGAGACTGCCCCCCAATCAGCATCAGTAAAAGCCACAACTTCAAGCGACTTACCAGTGCATGAGAACGTGAGACCATAATTTAATGTTCAAGATAAATACCGAAGTATCCTCTTTACTGCAGCGAAATGCAATTCTCGCGGAGCATACATATATTGAGCTGCCTTGTTGACACTAAACGCAACATCGGGTCTTATATGAAAAAACATACAGAAGAGCACCAACAATGCTACGATATCCTCGGGCATATGTTAAAAGCTCACCAACTTCCTGAGTTAACTTTGGAGCACCTACCATTGGAGTAACTGAAGGCGTAGAACTCAAAAAATTTGTTCTTTTCAAAAGCTCAACTATATATTTTCGCTGAGACAACACCAAAGAATCCTTAATGCGTTTAACTTCAATACCCAAAAAATCGTACAACTCTCCTAGATCCTTCAAGGAGAAATCCTGATGCAAAGCTTGAACAACACCATCAATGTCATGAGGAGGGCCACCTGTAACAATAATATCATCAACATAAACAAGGATATACGTATAACAACCTCTAATATTCTTTACAAAGAGAGATACATTAACTCGAGATTCACTAAAGCCCAACCAAATCAAACTGAATTTAAGTTTGTCATGCCAATTTCTTGGTGCTTGTCGAAGTCCATACAGTGCCTAGTTAAGTTTGCACACAAGTCGACCACCATCAGCAACATACTCCTTAAACCCAGGCGGCTGCTGCATAAACACATCCTCAGTCAGGTCCCCATTCAGAAATGCATTATTCACATCAACTTGTCTCAAGGGCCAATTCCTTGCAACAACAATAGAAAGAACTACATTTAATGTGGTAAATTTTACAACAGGACTGTATGTTTATTTAAAATCATAACCAGGAACTTGTGAATATCCTTTGGCAACAAGGCGAGCTTTATGCGTTTCAATAGACCCATCAGGGTTCTTTTTTACCCGACAACCAACAACCTCACGTCCTTTAGGTAACTCGACAAGTGACCAAGTATTATTCCGCTGTATTGCATCTAATTAAGCCTGAACAGCTTCTCTCCAGCTGGAAGACTTAAGTGCTTCATAAATGTCAACTGGTACTTCATCAACAAGAGAACTAGTATAAGCCTTTGGCTTAAATATTCCACATTTACTCATTGTCATCATTGGATGCCTGGTCATTAGTTCACTACACATATCACCTACACCTGATACAGAAGCATCACAAAAATACAACTCCTGAACACCATATGAGAGCTAGCAACATCATCTTGCTCAACAACATCATCTTGCTCAGCAGCATCAACAACTTGCTCAACACATGGGGCTACAACTGTTACTTCTTGCTCAACATCTGGAACACTATCTGCTGCCTCTGGCATTCCAGGACCAGAATTGGCACTAGGTAGATTAATATGACTACCACTGCTACTAGCCACTGTACCTCTACCAGACCCAACAATACATCTTCCATTATGAAGCTTGCACATATCAGTTACAATTTCTAGTGACTCAGATGGACTACCTACACTAGATGTAGTAGGCGATTGAGCACACTTTTCTGCAAAAGGAAACTGCATTTCATCAAATACCACATGTCTGGTTATATAATCCTACCATCAACAACAAGACATTAAAACCCCTTATGTTGTGTACTATATAATAAAAACGTGCAAGGTTTGGACTGAAAATCTAATTTATATTTCAAATAGGGTCTCAAATGGGGAAAACAAAGGCAATCAAACACCTTCAGCTCTCTATAATCATGCTTCCTATGAAACAACTTCTCAAATGGTGAAACTCCTTGCATGACCCTTATAGGAAGCCTGTTGATCAAATGGACTATAGTAACCACAACATAAGCCCAAAACCTAACTGGCATCGAAGCTTGAGCAAGGAGAACAAGAGCAAGTTCTATAACATGGCGATGCTTACGTTCAACCACACCATTTTGCTCGGAGGTGTGTGGACATGTAAGCCTATGTGTGATGCCTACTTTCAGTAAATAGCTCGACAGCCTACGATATTCACCTCCCCAATCACTTTGGACAACTTTATAGGCAAATCAAACTACACCTTAACCATTTGTTTAAACATCTCAAAGGCTATGACTACTTGAGACCTGTCAGTTAACAAATATAATCACGAATGCCTGATGCAAGCATCAACAAACGTTACATAGTACTTATAACCATTAGAGGCAACATGTGAGGGTCCCAAAGATCTGTAAACACTAATTGAAAAGGAGTATCATACACAGTTGTAAAAGCATGAAATGATAACTTATGGCTTTTTCCCATATGGCAGGCAACACACGTATTATTAATACTTGAAGGAAGAATTACACTTAGTTCCTTACAAACTGTGACTAGGCTATCATGCGAGGGATGTCCCAAACGCTGATGCCACAAATCATACACAGATTTAGACAACTGTGTTGTATAAACTTCTGTATTGGAACAATCTTCAACTGATGAATCAACAACAAAGGAATATAAACCACTATCTTCTTTTCCTCGAAGCAAAATTACACTAGTCTTTTTATCACGTACACATCACTCATGTGCATGGAATTCAAAGAAAACATTGTTATCCCTAGCAAGCTTTGACACCGAGAGTAGATTCTTGGCACATGTAATAAATCAGTCAATAACAAAACATGAGAGGATGTATATAAAGGAGATCGACCAACAGATTTAACATCTAACGCAACACCATCACCAACAATTAATTTACCTGTATTGTTAAAATCAACTGTCTGAGAGAGATTCATGTCATCAGAAGTAACATGGTGTGTGGCACCCGAATCCACAACACAATGCTCACGCGTAACTTGTGGCTTAAACTATGTCAATGCTGAGATCTAGACTTATGAGTGGTACCACAGTCACACCCACCATCCTTACAATTATTGACATCATAATAAGCAGTACCAGACTCATTCTTTGAATAAGAGTTACTATTGGTTGTAACTCCAGGAAAATCTTCATCGAACCGATGCCAACATCTATCAACTAGATGGTTCTTCCCACATAGTTGGCACTGCAACCGAGATCTACTTCGTCCTCGACCAACATATTGTCCACGAGAATACACCTGACGAGAGGAAGCATTACGCTCATATTGATCTACAGATTTACCTGACACCTGCCCTTGAGCAATATGAGCACTCATAGAGAGTGATTCGAGTAGATCAAAAAACCCTGCTAACTAAGTTTCAGCATCTAACAACATGGTGTAGATAGAATCAAGAGATATTGTCTCCCTTATAGTGGTTATGACAACCACAAACGGCTAATACTCACAAGGCAACCCCTTCATAATACTAGCAACATGCACAGTTTGAGACACAACACTGCCAAAAGATGCTAGGGCATCACAGACTTCCTTAACTCGAGTAAGATACACTCTCATTGACTCATCACCTTTCTTAAGAGACTGAAGCTTATAATGCAAACTAATGACAACGATTGTAGATCTATTCGAGAAAAACTGAAGCACAATATTCCAAACCGCAGATGCTATTTCACCAGGACGCAAGCGCACTGTCCTGAGCCAAAACTCTTCATACAGTTCATTCAATACAACTTCACCGGAATCATCAAGCACCGTTGACGACGAAGAAGACATCGAATCTGTGAGTAATCGTTCTAATCTATGGCTACGAACAGTGAGCAACCAAAAGTTGTTGTTTCCACAACAAAAAATTTCTTCTTCAAGAATGACGTTAACCTTCATATTAGAAAACGTCTTAGCATTCCTCGAAACAGATTCCATTGAAGAAGACGATCTATCAGCAGTCAGTATGATGAGTCTTCAAGCAGCGAA